CCTTGACAACTTGAGTTCGAATCCGACCTCCATTTTGTCAAAATTTTCTCCGAAGTCCACAAATTGAGATTGAAAATGAGAAGGTCTAAATATTTCAGTCCAAATTCACTGGTTTTAAGGCATTTTCCGATAAAAAAAACCACCATATTTGAATTTAGGGGTCGAGACAAACCAACCCATGAAATTTGAGACCAAAAAACCACCCTCAATGATGGTGGACGATGGCTGGAATGAAAATGATGTGCTGGCTAACGGAGAGAAAATGAAGAAGAGAAAGAAAAAATGGTAAATTACACAATTTCTCACTAAACGTTACTCTCTCTTCTATTTTACTCGTTGTACTTTAAATATAGGATTCAAAACAATGTTGTTTTGTTGTATATTTGGCTGTCCCTTTTTTCCCATATGTATGGGGTAAGGGGGAGGTAAGATAGTAGGCTGCCCCCAACACCAGGTTGAGAGCAGCTTCCGTAGGAGACCTCCAAATTATGAAATGCCCTCCGTGGGACTTGATCCCACGACCTCAGGGTTTAGAACCTTGTGCTCTACCAACTGAGTTTTTCAAAACGACATCGTTTTGATGTTTATGTCATGTCATAACGTCGTTAACTATTTAACGACAGAGTGAGCAAAATGATTCAATCTGTAAAGTTCAGTGAGCAAATTGAAAGTTGGGTGAGGAAAATATGAGAGAGAGTAAAGTTCAGTGAGGAACAGTGTAATTTATCCGAACGAATATAATAGGCTTAATACAAAAAAGAGTGCAAAAGAAAAACAGTTTAGTGCCTAAATAATTTTTTTTGTTAAAAATAAATGTCTAATGTTTTAAATGTTACATTTTTAGGCGACGTTAATTATCGTTAAAAATATTCGTTAAGTAATACGTGTCACGTTTTTTATAATTTAAAAATATAAAAATATTTTTATTAAAAAAACCAGCAACTTGTGCTTTTCGCTCTCCCTTCCCCCTTACGTAGCGTCGATCAGTCAGTCATGATCGTCATTGACACCATTATCAGCATCGACGTCGATCCCTAATCAAATCTTCGTCAGTCTTTCATCGTAATTTGTCACTGTTTGCCATGGAGAAATGTTTAAAGGTTCATCAGATTTTAAGTCATCATCATTGTTCTTCATCGATTCCAGTTGATTCCAACGTCCATAAGTCACACCACCACTATCATTCGAACTATCGTGCAATTCCGATCAAAATCTAACCGTTCGACGATGACGATGATAGCCAGAGATGATCGTCGATGGTTGATAATGGGGTTAAAATGAGATATTTTAGTTTTTAGGAGTTTTTTTATAATATCAATAAATTTTTGGGTTTTTTATAAATAAATTAAGTTTTAAAAAATTAAAAAATAAATTTTTTATTGTTAAAAATAAAAATATAACAGTAAACATCTAATAATATAACTGAAAATATATTAGACACCTATTTTTAGAAAAAAAAATCTTTATGTAACAAAACGTTTTTCGAGACATAGTTTGACTACTTATTTTTGTATTAATCCAATATAATATAAAGTGAAGTTTTCATATTATGTTGAGTTTATAATTTAAAATTTAATTCTTATAATTTAAAGATTTAATTTTAGATGTACGATCTAAGTTATCTTAGTGATTAATGAATAGTTATTATTTTTAAAAGTCTCAAATTCGAAAATCTATATTGCAAGAGTGATAAATTTTTATTATCAAATTATTAAAAATCTTTGAAATATATACTATAATATAATCATCTTATATTAATAAAATATAATTCCGTATTATGATGTACCATGTGATGTTTTATCCATGTTATTAATAACATCACATCCATTTATAATTTATTAGTATTCACATCCATTGATAACCTAATTTATTAATTTTAACCGATAATTAGTTTTTTCTTATTAATATGTTGTTTATTTTTTTATCTTTATTGATTGATGATAGCATCAGCTTCAATATTGATTGTCGATATTTTTATTGTCTTTTATTTTCTTTTGTTTTTATTTTTATTTTCAATAAGTATGTTTAGATCATATTTTCATTTCCTTTTATAGTGCGTTTTCTTCTGTTTTTTGGCATGTTTGCTGACCGTTTGATTATTGTTTTCACTTATTTTTTTAATGGATGATTTGACATCATTACGACTGATTAAGATGACGCTTATCGATGGTATTTTAGTAACTTTATTCTCTTTTGTGGTTAGTTTGCTAACGCGATCAAACCTATTTGTAGATATCTTTGTTCGAGTTTATTGGTTAAATTTTAATATTTCCTTATATGATACTTATGTGATCTTATTTTTTGAAAATGATGACCTCTTTAAAAACCCCTTGTAAGACCTATGAGTTCTTAAAGGAAGTATATTACTCAGAACAATGTCATGTGATAAATCAGAAGCTATAATATTGTGACAAACCGAGTAAAAGAAAAATGCACTCCCAAAGTGAAGAGCCTAAAAAAGCTAACTTATGCGCAACTTTGTTACAACAATGAACAAAACATTGCTATCCAAGATATCACGAGCTTCCTTCAAGTAATAACCCAGGGTGAACAAATCATTCATATCACTATGCAGCTTTTGTTAATCACCATAGCAGAGTCCAACTCAAAGATCACTCGTTGCCAGTGATTTTCACGAGCAAAATTCTATCCGGCAACAAATGCATGAATCTCCGCGAGACCAGATTCGATACAATTTGGAGACAGAGAGTCATCCCACCTAAAGGCAACCCTGCCTAGTCTTGAGCAATTAAACCAATAGCATCCAAACACATTCACCTTGACAACACCTGGTTCTCAGGGAATCCACCGTTCATCTTCAACACGAACAAGAATTGTCGATGGATGATAAGGCTGTCGCACTCCGCCATTTGCAAGGTTCCTGGCTGACAAAAACTCCTTCTGAAGCAACTTGGCATTGATCGCCAGTAGCCATGGAGGTTGAAGCTTATCGTCATGGACTTTGTTATAATCGTCATGGACAATTAAGCACATTACCAAGCTAACAGACAGAAACGCAGCTCAATTACCTCATACGATAAAACATCTCAAATTGGGGGGGAGGACTAAGCTAGTCATTCAATAGAAAGGAACCGAAGATCTAAGACAAAAACTTGTATAACAATACCCCTCACTTGCCCTCTATCATTCTATACAAGGAAATGAAGAACAGTATAAAGAAAGATGGACGAAAGTGAGAATTGGCATTGATCTAACGATGAAGGAAGACATTTGGAAACAAAAAAAAGTCCAAGAGTTATTGAAACTACCAGAATCCACCATTTCACTCATTTCACTCTCTTAGCCACCTCTAATTCACTACCACCAAACCCATTTTAATCCCTTACTGAAACTGAACACCAACTTAAATATTAGATCAAACACAATATCGTAGCCACCAATAACATTAAAAAAAGTTAAAAAAGGAAAATGAAGACCACTATAAAATAGAGAGAGGCGAAAGGGAGGAGACCATTATATTTTGATTTTGCATTGATTTAACGATGGAAAAAGACGTTTGGAAACAAAGAAAATCAAAGAGTTTTGGCTTATATCCATTAACTTTGGTGTAATTTTTTATGAAAAGGGCATCAGATTTGTGTTTAGGAGGTGAGAGAGAAGATGAGAGGAAGGAAAAATAAAGAAAAAAAAAAGAATTTTATAGAGGATTCGAAGTGATATCGTTTGTGTAGAATTGATTTTTTTCAAAACGATGTCAATTTAATGCTCATGACATGTTATAATATCGTTAAATAGTTAACGACAGAGTGATCAAAATAGGAGCAATTAAAAAATTTAATGAGTAAATTAAAAAAAATAAACTTTTGTGAACAAAGAGAAAGAATAAAATTTAATGATTATTTATGTACTTTGCCCTTAATTTATTATCCTCCTAAATTTAAAATGACTAAGACCTAAATACACCATTATCTCTTAAAATATGTTATTTATACCGAGCTATTCAATATAATATTTTTTTGAAAGCTTTATTCTCTTAAGTTCAAATTATTATTTAATTTACCCTAAATTATTAACTTCATTACAAAAATTAATAATCAATTAAAAATATATCTCGTCACCATTTAATTTTAATTTATTTTAGGTGTGAGTGATGAGAGTAAAGGTACAAATGACAAGTGATACAATAGTATGAATGATGATAGACTATAATACTACGTTAGTTGGAATCTTCATTTTTCATTTATTTAAATAATATTATTTTAGTATCTACATCATTATTTTAATGGAATTTATGTCTACATCGATATATCATTTAAAAATAATTATTACGTGATATAATTAAACTCAAAACTGAATTTCATTAATATACTTATATAATTTTTTTGACAACAATATACTTATATAAATTTAAAGTTCAATAATAAAATACAGACCTATCTAAAAGTCAATATAATTTCGTGTAATTTATGTTAATTTTAAATGGATCATATTTTCCTTTTAAAAATATTAGTAACTTTTTAGGGTAAATTATACGTTTACGTATCAAACTTTACTCTCTCTCTTATTTTACTCATTGTATTCTCAATTTTTTTAATTTGCTCACTGCACTTTATAAATTGAATTTTTTTAATCACTAAATCGTTTTTTCAATTACATTATGATAATGTGGTTTATTTTAATATTTTTCCCAGACACATAGGATTTACATTTAAAATAAAAGCTGCTTTTAATTACATTTAAAATAAATGCTACTTTTGCTTTACTGTATTTTCTGGTAAGAAGAAGAAGACATTTAAGAAGAAAAGCAGTGTTGCATTTGCAGCTTTGGGTGATGAGGCGAGCTGCAAAGTGAAGTTTCAGACATGGTGGAAACTGAACACTCGATTTTTGGAACCAGTAATGTTGAAACTAGTGATTCTAAAACTAAAAACAAGAGTGAAGAGGAAGTTGAAACTTCAAAGAACAAGAACTCAAGAAGAAGAATAAGAGTGGAAGGACTGCTCAAGAAGATGTAGTAATGGGAATGGGTGTTGCTGAAGGAATCATCATCGTTATCATCAACAGCAGCAGTGGTGGATTCAAGTACAGGGAGGTCTCCTTCATCCTCTTCCTCGAGCAATGATGCACTGAAGGAATTTTCAATCTTCTTAGAAGACTTTCATTTTTTTTTCTTTTTCTTACCTGATAAAGACAATGAAGGCGCATCTTCTTTCTAATCTTCTTTTACACCCTCTTCATTTTTGTCGCAACCGCCTTTCGAGTGGACCCGAAATTTAGCTTCGACTTGAAATAAAATATTAGGAGTCGCCACCGATCATTTAAAAAATATATTTAGGTTGATCGGATACCATCTTACCTGATCTGCGTTTTACCATAAATATATCGGGCTCGGGAGTCGGTTACAGTCAAGGAATGATTAGCACCCTTGAACTACCCTTTCGGTACCATTTAATTTATCGATTGTCTTAATTACAAAAATTAAAATTAAAATTAAAATTTAAAAATTCGATCATAATTATTTACATTTTTGATCAATTAAAACTATCCCTAAAAATCATAAATAAAGTAAAAAAATAAAACCAACAAAGACAAAGAGTTAGTATTAAAAGATAAAATATAAAATAGGTAAATAAATAAATAAAAGGGAGTGAAAGAGAATTTATATAAAAAATAAAAAAATAGAAATATAAAATTCACAGATCGAATTAATTATAGGAATGACTGCAAGAGAAAAACAGAAACTTAATAGATTAAATAGAAAAAAAATAAAGTACTAAAATAGCACAAACAGAAAATTAAAGGATTAAAGTAAAAGGCCTAATAAATAAATATGAACAAATAAGATCCTCAACAATCAATTTAAAATAAATACATGAGCCTAAATTGTAATAAAATATAATTATGTTGACTAAAATGTAATAAAACATAAAATAATAGCTAAATAAAAAATAAACAAGGATCCGAATAAAAAAATTAAAATAAAAGTGGCTAAATTCGAAGATTATTAAAATCAATATTCATTTTCGAAACACATAACAAAATATATGACCAGAGTGCAAAAGGCATTAAAATAAGGGAGCTAAAAAGTGATTTTACCCTGCTAGGACCAAAGAATAAAGCACACTGAACATGGGGTCCTTATGCGTGATTTAATCATTAATATATATGAACAAAATATAAAACTCCTAAAAACTAGTGGCCTGACAAGTGATTTAACCAAAATGTTTTAAAACTTAATATCTTTTCCTTTCTTTATTCTACTCGTGAACCAGATTAGTTTTTTCATTTCTAGTCTTTTCGCTTTCTTTTCCTTCACAGAGCAACCATGGCGACCCAAATTTCCAGTGAACTCGAGATCCACACTGACCACTCAACTCTAGACCCGATGACGACGACACCCCTACTCCGACATACTGCAGCAAGGTAACTTAACTCTCTATCTCTATTTTAATTATTATTATTTTTTTTAAACTCGTGGATTTTACATTAACTACGAACAAAATTACAAACTAAAATTCTCATTATTAGTTGCATTCGAATTGAACAAATAAATTAAAGAAAACTGAAATATAAACTGAACTACCTCAAGATTGCTGAAAAAAATATGTATTTTATTGCTATCCCCTTCTGAAAAACGAGAGTAATCCCTTTACAATTGTTTCTCCCCCTTTACATTGTTTTAGTGCCTGGGTTTTATACCCTTATAGAGGAAGGAAAAAACAAACAATAATGGAGCAATATGGGTAAAGCGGTATGGGCAGCGACACATCATGGTGGAGCTGAACATGGGTGAAGCGTTAGTGTGTTGTGTTGGTGGCCGACAAGTATGGTCACGAGATGAGTGTATGCAGCGTGGGTGAAGCTGGCGTGGGGTACTGCAGCATGGACAAAAATTGGTTATTACAGTTGCCCCTCTTTGCACATTCTTGTGTTAACAAGAATAGGGCAAAGACGAAAATGACAATCAGTTTTTGTCTGGTCCTTTTTTGTTTTTGAGGCTTGATACATTTGTTAGGGAGTAACTGTAGTTGGGCTTCAGGCTGAGCCTGGAATTGGGCCTTGGTCTTCTTCTCGATTAAAGACCTCGGCTTAAAAATTCTTCTAGAAGGTAGTTTCTCATTGCTACCATGCGGTTAATATGCCTATGAGCTGAAATGAAATCAAACTCGAAGGTCTTGATGACAGATAGCCCTTCTTGCCTTGAGTTATGCTTTAAATTTGATATGCCTGAGTGTAATCGAACTTGAAGGTCTTTGTTGATAGATAACCCTTCTAGCCTTGAGTTATGTTGCAATTGATATGCCTTTGAGCTAAGTGTAGTTAAACTCGAAGGTCTTTGTCGGAAGAGATAACCCTTCTAGCCTTGAGTTATGCTGTAAATGATGTACCTTAGAGCTGAGCGTAGTCTAACTCAAAAGTCTTTGATGACAGATAACCCTTCTCGCCTTGAGTTATGCTGTAAATGATGTGCCTTGGAGCTGAGCGTAGTCGAACTTGATGGTCTTTGGTTGGCAGATAACCCTTCTTTCCTTGAGTTATGCTGCAAATGATGTGCCTTTGAGCTGAGTGTAATCGAACTCGAAGGTCTTGGTTGGCAAATAACTCTTATAGCCTTGAGTTATGTTGTAAATGATGTGCCTTTGAGCTGAGTGTAATCGAACTCGAAGGTTTTTTTGTTAGCAGATAGCCCTTCTTACCTTGAGCTAAGCTGCAAATGAGCACGATATCCTTCTTCGTGAAGTTGAAATCGTGAATAACCCATTCATTGTGAAGTTGAGCCTCGAATTGGATATCCTTCGTCGTGAAGTTGAAATCCAAGGGTTGCATTGTTGCTGGTGGACACGATATCCTTCGTCGTGAAGTTGAAATCGTGGATGGTCCCTTCGTCGTGAAGTTGAAACTTGAATTGGATATCCTTCGTCGAGAAGTTGAAATCCAAGTTAAGTTGCATTGTTTCGAGACCAATATCATTCGCCGTGAAGTTGAAATTGACTATGAAACTGGAAAGTTTATTGATAGACACTCCTTCTTTGAGTTGGATATCCTTCGTCGTGAAGTTGAAATCCAATCTAGAGATATATGTTGCTTGTGTGTGTACGATTCCCTTCGTCGTGAAGTTGAAACCGTGGATGTGTGGGCACGATATCCTCCATCATGGAGTTGAAATCATGTATGACCCCTTCATCGTGAAGTTGAGCCTTGACTTGAATATCCTTCGTCGTGAAGTTAAAATCCATGCTTGTGTTGTTTCGAGTCCAATATCCTTCGTCGTGAAGTTGAAATTGGCTCTGAAACTGGAAAGTTTATTGACAGACACTTATTCTTTGAGTTGGATATCCTTCATCGTGAAGTTGGAATCCAATCAAGAGATGAATGCTGCTCGTTTATACGATTCCCTTCATTGTGAAGTTGAAACAGTGGATGTATGGGCACGATATCCTCCGTTGTGGAGTTGAAATCGTAGATCTGTTGGTACGATATCCTCCGTCGTAGAGTTGAAATCGTGGATGGCCCCTTCGTCGTGAAGTTGAGCCTTGACTTGAATATCCTTCGTCGTGAAGTTGAAATCCAAGTATTATATGTTGTGGGTGGACACGATTCCCTTCGTCGTGAAGTTTGGCTTCGAGTTAGATATCATTCATCATGAAGTTGAAATCTTCTCTCGAGCAAATTGTGAGTTCAATATCCTTCGCTGTGAAGTTAAAATTGACTCTGAATGAAACTGAAAAATTGTTTGTTGAGTACAATATCCTTCGCTGTGAAGTTGAAATTAACTGAATGAATTGTAAAGTTGTTTGTTGACAGACACTCCTTCGCTGTGAAGTCGAGCATCTACCATCAATTTCTAAATGTGCTTTTGAATCGAGTATATTTCTTCTTGAAGTTGAAACTTGACTCTAAAAGCTGCAAAAAATATGTATATAAAAAATGATGAATGTGATGATCTTAAGTATGTCTAAGATGCATGCAACATGAATTAGTTTTATCTTCTCGTGCTTTGTCTGCTTATTCCTACATGTGGAGGAAATATCTTCAGAAGGTCTGATTGTTTGTATCAGGATGTTGAATCCCCAACGATGCCCCAATATTTGATGTTGAATCTCAAAGATGCCCTCTATTGCTTCAGCACTGATTTTAAACATGAGCTTTACGTCTGAGATCCACATGTCAAACACCAATATCCACTGTAGAGAGATTATCTTGTTTGAAAAGTGTTTTTCTTCTTCTTTTATTTTCAAAAGTTCTGAAAATGTATTAGAAGAGTTTTGAAAAATGTTTAATCAAAAGGTTTGAAAATATTGTCCCTTTCTCGGTTTCATAATTGAGACAAATCATAAAACTAGAGTTCATTGGACATCAAAGAATTAATTACACTATTAATCCTTCAATAAATTATAGTTATTTGACAAGTGTCAAGATCAAAGCTATCTTTGGGAAATGGTTAAGTAAGGAAATGATAAAAAAAAGTCTCAGGTTATTGTGTTTGGTCGAAGGTTTGACATTGATGCTCAAAGGTTTGATGGGGTAGCTTGTATGCTTCTCTACTGTAAGTGTTTTCCAACTCCCAGCCTTCATGGTTATGCTTGGATTGTGCGATGCTTTATCAAGGAATTTGTGCGATCGCTTTAGCTGCACAATTTTTACATTCGAACCGCCTTTTCAGGTTTTTAACTCGAATCCTCCTTTGGTTTCAAGACGTTACGTCATGAACCCCCTTTATTATTTTTCTCTATCATGCATTAAAGATTTTAGAAAACCTTTTGTAAATAAAGATTAATCCTGATGGGCGGAATGAAATATGAAGATAGTCTCTTCTGTTTAGAAATCCATGTATGATTAGAAGAGACTTTTTAAGGTACGTAACGTAGGCCAAAGTTCATGGTTATGAAAGAAAAGGATAAATAGGCCCAAACAAGTGTCTCAGGGTATTGAACCAAGGATCAATTCATTATGATGCCTTCAATCATGTCTTGCTCAATTTGAATCTGCTCATATGTGTTTCTCTCTTGATGCTCTATGATCTTTGAGTGAAGTGATTCTGGAATAATTGTGCTTGATCAATCTCATAGTTTGATGCTCGATATGTCATTTGACTCGAGGGAATCTTTATGTGTGCTTATTGTCTTTATTTTTTTCTTTACCTTTTTTT